TTCACTTTCTCTAAGGAAATAATTATAATTGTCTTTACATGGTCAAAATATAAAAACACAAATTTGGATGGATGTGATAGGTCTGATCTTACAATCTGAGAAGGTGAAAAGAGACAAGATATATAAAATCAATAATATTATTTTAAAACTATATATATATATATATTATTAATTTACAATGAATATAATATAATATATTTTAAAAATCTCAATCATTTGACATTGAACGTGAATGCTCATACATATATGATATTCAAATTTAAAATCTTAAAAAAATTCTCAAATATCGAGATCATTTGATTAATGTTTTATATATAAAATTTTAATATATAATTATATTTAAAAATATTAAAATTTTGATTATTCAACTCAAAGACATGATAGCAAAGGTCTAATTGTGAAGCCTTAATCAGTAGGGATTGGTTTTCTAAGGGAACCTAAAAGGGTCATTAAAAGAATGTCGTGTTAGGCTTGATTGTTAAAAGAAGGTAAAAAAAGGGAAAAAGCGTGTCCACTATAATTAACTGAATTTGTTTGAGTAGACTTTTAAGTTTATTTGTTTATAATTATAATTATATTTGTTTGTTTGATTAAATTAAATAATTTTTTTATAAATATTTTTTAAATAGAGTAAGATAATTATAAAGTAGATTTTATTCATAGTTTTTTTAAATAAAATAACACACCCAACAAATGTAGTTACTCAAATTTAAGACCTAAAGAAAGAATGACACTTTGTTTTATCACTAAAATTACTTAATAGATTAATGAATATTAAATCAATATGTTCATAAATATATCAATATATATATATATATATATTTGTAAACGATTAAAAATATATTCATAAATATCAATAAAAATTAGGTATAGCAGTAAGGCACATACATCTATAAAGAGAGAATTAAAATAAATACTTTAGAATAATATTATTGAGAGAAATAAAAAATAAACTATATTAAGGGTCGAGAAGAAAAATCTTTTGCAATTTTTTTATTAAACCCCAAAGTTCTTAATATTTTTAAATAAATCTCTTTAACTTTTTGAAATTTTCTTTAAATCTCTTAAGATTTTAAAAAATTTAAATTAAATCTTAAATCTTTAAAAATTATCGTTAAATCATTCAAAATATTTGGAAAAAAATTCTATGATCCCAATTTTTGTTGTTAAATTCTATTATTAAAATGAAAAACCACAAATTTCAAATATGATATGAAATAAATTTGGATTAATTGAGTTGTGGCATTGGGTGAAAAAAGGGTGCAGTAGTGCGCTACCCATTATCGTTACTTCAAACACTCCAGCATTGATGGTGATGAAGAAGTAAGAAAATGATGCACATTGGGCCAGACCAGAGACCACCTTAAAGGTGGATTCTTGGTATCTAAGAATGGACCCACGTCCCATAACTCATCATCATCAACAAAGTGCAAGGGGATCTTGGACCTCACACTAGGATCGGAACAGACCGCCCAATTCAATTTCAAAACAATCTAAGGACCTAGTTAAAAGGCAATGACTGCCTTACAAATCACCTTTTGGAAAGACAAGGAAAAAAAAAGGACCTTCCACTTGGAAAACTACCCGTGCCAAACTCGGGCATAAATTTAAGCTTGATTTGGATAAGGATTGCGTTCCATCATTTTTCTTTTCTCGGTTTGAGAATTTCGGTATATTTATTTAGTTTGGGTGATTATAAATTGTATTTATTTATAATTTTTTAATATATTGACAACGCACACATATTTTGTAAGCGTAATTATTCGAACTTTAAACTTTTAAAAAAATTAAACTTTATTTTTACCACTAAAACCATTATGTTATTAAAATGTTCGCCTTCAACGTTCCATCCAACCGGATGGTTATATGATCTATGCATAAGCATCCTAGCACCTGTTTTTTTGTCTTACCCTAAGCCAAAAACATATACAAATACCTATGGTTTAGTGCGGGTAAAGCTTTTTAAAAGTTTGTAATTTGATTTGTAAATGCATTTCATCAATATTACAAAAAACGCATGCACCTACTAAAGGTCATTAGTGTTAACGGCTACCCATGAATGAAGCTTTGGTCGACTGCTCTAAAAATAAGCCACTTGCAGACACTTATGGTTGAATCACTCGCTCTAAAATTGAGTGGTTATGGATAGTTCTGCTGTACGAGTCTATATATATAGTTAAGGAAATATTATGTCAGAAATGTTAATATCTTTTTAAACATTTTCTGTAAAACATCACTTAAAATTGAGTGGTTATGGATAGTTCTGCTCTAAAATGCATTTCATCAATTATTAACATTTTCTTTAGAAAAAATAATGTTTTAGGAAGCGCTTTACCATAAATGTTAAACATTTTAGGTAGTATCCAATATTAACATTTTAGGTAGTGTCCAATATTAACATTTCCTATAGAAAAAATAATATTTTAGGTAACATTTTATCGAAAATATTAAAAAATTATTAATATTTCCGGTAACACTTTTTCTTAACCGTATATTAAAGTTATCGTACCTTAGACATTCCCGGTTGATCTAAGCATTCAAAGTATACTGTAAGGTTCTCGAAAGAGAGAATATTCTAAATCAAAAGAAAAGTTAAACGTGGACATAAGGTGGGCGCCAACCCCATTTTTATTTGTGTTATTTTCCGTAAGGAACTCGGACGGGAATGCTGAAAGACATGCGTTTAGTTGTTTTCCTTTTATTGGAAATCTTTTGAACCACAGAAATGGCCCGTAGCCCCATAACCGCAATTTGGATGGCAAAGGGCAAAGCCGATTCTGCTCTGCCGGTGTTGCGATATCGACACGTACGTATACATGTGGCCCAAATGTCAACGACCGTGCTCGAGCAAAAACAACTGGAGCGAGAGAGGTTGATTTTTTTTGTGAGAGTCGGAGTGACATAAAATCGAATGAATGGTGGGCGATGCCATGATACGTTGTCTGGAAATTTTCTATTTCCATATTTTATCAAAGAAAACTTCGTTGATAATGTCAACCTGGAAGTCTAAGGTGAATCTTTCGGTGCCTGTCTATTTCATATTTGTAATGTACAAGCATGGGATGTTTACAATGCATATTTCCCCCCTTCTTTTATTGGCAAAGAAACTATCAAAGTAGGCAAAAAGAAAATGATGAGGTCGGTGAAATTAGAATTAAATCAGAGATGAATATGGGTTGAATTGGATTTGACTTTTAATCAATTAAAATTTAAACGAATATTATATTTTTTTCGTTCATTATTTGATATTATCTAAAATTAAAAAAAACAATTATTATTGATGATATCAAATTTGATCTTGATAACTTTTAATCGTTCATACTTTTTGATTTGAGTAGAGAGTCGCAGTCGGTGAGAGGATAATCGTTAGTTGATAATCTTTTATTAGAGAATGGTAAAAATAACGTCATAGGAAAAAGATAACTTGTTTAATTGGAAATTTGAAGAGAATAAGAAGAAATATCCCTATCAATCGAGGTTGAGAAGTACTTATAATAATTCTAATTATTTGTGGTAATGATGGCTATTAGCAGGCTGATGTGCTAGACAAATATAATCGTCAAATCTTGAACTTAACATTGTTCAGTTATGTGGATCTGTTAGAGGTATTAGTCATACACTATGACTGATTCAAAGACCTGTGACCAAAAAATATAAACTCCTTAGAATCTTAGTGAATGAAATTATATGTTCGGAGATATTTGAAAAATATTAATTATTTCGGAAGATATCGTTTGAAATATAATAATAATACATTATCTATTTAGATTATTTGGACGATTTATCCAAATGTATAATATATGCCAACCCTTTTATGATAGAGGTATTGTATATGGGATGGGCATCCAACTTTGAGCAATAATTTTGCCTCCCATTTCATAGTGTACAGAAAATACATTATCATATGTTAGATTCCTTGCTTAGCCATTGGGAATTTTTTATTATGATTCAGGTACTCACGCTTAGTTACTGTGTCTACATACATTATTTTAGTGTATTTTATTACTATATTAGCGAATTGAAGCATAAATAGGGCATAAAATTGTATTTTAATGGTTTAGTTGATGGACAATTTGTTGTGGAATCCATATAGAAAGGCCTAGAGCATGACCCGGAGAAACCCAAAAGACATGTGTCAATGTCTACGCCTTCGAAGTTTATACATGCTGCATGTTTATTCTGTCCAGCATCTAATCTGTAAAGGCAACACCTATTTATCTATTTGTTATATGGCCATTGAATTTTTTATTTTTTATTAATATTTTAAATAAATATTGTTTTTATTAAATCAAATAAAATTACATTAATTCTTTCAAATGTAGATATTGATTTTAGTCTGGTCGGGGCTTAAAGACCAAACTCAAAGCCCGAACCAAGTCCTAAACCCAACAAATAAAACACGTATGGCATACTAAACTAACTCGACAACCGTTCAAAGCATAAATATTAAACATAGACGTACTAACATACTCCATTTATTCGACATTAAAATTTTATAATTTAATTCAGACTCAATTTTTTTAGCGTTTCGTCACTCGTAAGAACAATGGAATGTTAAATTCATGTGGCATGAGAAAGGAAAGGTTAGTATTTACTTATAGAGATGAATATTTGATTCGAACTTAATAAGTTTCGATTTAAGTTGATAGAGTTAGTCTTTTCATTTAAAAATTTAAATTCGAGTTAATTTAGATTGATTTTTTTAAAGAATAAAATTGGGTCATATTTTAAATTTAAGACGACAATACTAAGATCGAAATGAGTAACACATAGATGGTGTTATGCTAAGATCATATATAGATAGACTAAAAACTCAACCCGAATGTGGAGTTCCTTATATGGGCTTGACAGTTTGGGCTTTTTGGTCTGTTAAAATCAGACGTGAAATTGAGAACACTTGTACGTTTCCTTGGACCCTATTAAGAAAACCAATTTTTTCTCCTAAAGCCCTAACGTCTAGAAGGTTCCATCATCATCCAGATCTAGAATCCCCGAAGCCAGTATATCATTATATCATCTAACTCTATTTCTCTTGCATTTGCTGGAGAACTCTCTGAGAATTTCAGATTAATTCTACAATGGCGAAGCGTTTGATTCCAACACTCAACGGAGTTCTTGTCGAGGAAATCCTTTCCCCTTCCAAAACCACTGCCGGCATTATCCTGCCCGAGAAATCCACCAAGGTAGTTTTCTTTCTCTTTCGATCTCTTTTTCTGTCATAAGTTTTTAATGTAATCTAAGGATCTTGCTTCATTTGATTGAAAACAAACAGCTGAACTCCGGGAAAGTGGTGGCCGTGGGTCCAGGAGCAAGAGACAAGGAAGGGAAACCGATCCCAGTTCCTTTCAGGGAAGGTGACACCGTTCTTCTGCCTGAGTTTGGGGGTTCCCAAGTCAAGCTTGGCGATAAAGAGTGCGTCATTAAGCTCCCTTTTTTATTGTATACTTTATCATTTGGTTTGAGAAGTTGATCATTTTCTTGTTTTTTTATTTTATTTTTCCCGGCAGGTTTCATTTGTATAGAGATGAAGATATTCTGGGCAATCTCCACGATTGATAGATTGGAATTGCAATGAGGCATTAGCTTTGTTTATTGTTTCTGGGTTCAATTAAATTGGGCGGAACTGATTAATCATCGTTGTTATTGGAAAGTGGAAACTTTTACTATTAAAAAGATTTCTGGCGTGATTTTTGTCTAATTATCCCAAGATTACATCCTTTTGGTAATGGCATTGTTATAATATGGATGTTTGATTGAGGATGGGATTTTCGATTGAAGTATTATTATCGAATGTGTGAAACTGATTTAATAGATATAAAAATGTTCCAATTAGATACTTTAAAGCAGTTAATGGTAATTCAAAAAAAATGCAGTTAATGATTCCATTTAGAATTTAGAATTTATCGAGTGTGATTCTTCTTAAATTTTTTGATGAAAATCTTAATAAATATTTTTTTATATTTTTTTTATAGATTATTAGAAGAATAAATTTGTATTTTTTAATTGTAATGAATAAAATAAAGAGAAAAAATATCGATATTTAAATTTATAATCTATTTTGAATAAATATATTAGATTTAATTAAATTTAAATATCAAGTTATATATTTTTTAAAACAGAAATTTAAATAATACAAACATATTTAAGAAATTGATTAATTAAATTTTTTAACCTAATGATTTAATATTTAAAAAAAAAAAAGTTAAGACGAATCTAAAACATGGATTAATGTAATTGACCCAAAATACTTTCTCGTTCAATCTTCCCCGTTTCCTCCCTCCAAAACACCTCTTACTTCCTTTTTGGCTTTACCCGGAAGCATGCAATCAAAAATACATTTCCTATATCCTTTCTCACATCGTCTCTCTATGAAGTAGAAAACTAATAAACAAACGGTCACCGAGGTACCACCACGGTAGGAAGTCGGTTAGGTTCTGCCCGTTCCAACCGGGGCGGACTTTAGTTCATCGTCTCTCGTGGTTACTTCTCTATGTTATTCGTCATCGACAACGGATCTTCCTCTTTGCAACTCTCATTTATATTTCCGGGATGTTTCTTTACATGGGCATCGCTTCCTTTGATGCCGTTCCCGTTGTTAGGAACCGACCTCACCCGGCTCCGTTTACCGGAGTCCCCAGGTTTACGAGAAACTTGAGAGTTTATATGAATGCCGATAATTCCTCTGCTGACGCGGTGAGTCTCTGGTTTCTGATTTGTCCGTTTCAGTCTATTAGATGAATTCTTCGGTTTTAAGATTGAGATTCCGTTTTTTAATATGGTTTTCCGTGCTGAGTTGTGTTTTTAATCATTCCAAAATTTGAGTTTTTTTGTATGGTTTCTTCTTCCTTCCGGGTTTGAACTTGATAGAATTTTGAGGACCAATTTTAACATTTGGATGGATGAATTTTACTGCAGTACAATACTGGTTTTTTGTATGATTTCTTCTTCCTTCCGGGTTTGAACTTGATAGAATTTTGAGGACCAATTTTAACATTTGGATGGATGAATTTTACGGCAGTTCAATACTGGTTTATTGATGATCCGCTTCCTCTACGAGAACTTGATAATTTGATGTTGGTAAAACAGTTGATGTGGTGTCATTCGATAATTACAATACAATGATAATATCTGACCATATCATCTGAATTTTGTTCTTCGATTCAATGTATATTGTTATTTATTTTTTTACTGAAATAGCTGCATGATTATGAATTTATGACTGTATATTTTAGACTGATTTTAGGGGTTTGCATCTGATTCTGGTTCATAGCGCTTGCATCTGCCCTGAACTTACTGAATTTCCTGTAGATTTCAACTGTTTGGAAAAATTTCTATAGAGGGGGCGTATGGAGGCCTTGTGTAAACAAGTCTTCTGAAGCTATGAGTTTTATGTTCAATTTCTGGTGCTTTGCACATTTCCAGTTTTTGTTATGTTCTTTATGAATTATGCATATGCGCTCATGCATGAGTATGCTTTCGTGTGTTGGCTATCTTCATCGGTTTATGATTTGGTTGTTCCTTTTAATTACTATAGATTTACCTGAATCGAATGGTTACATATACATCGAGGCAAATGGAGGCTTAAATCAGCAGAGGAAATCGGTTGGTTCTATTCCTCACTTGTCTGTAATAAGTATGTGTATATTTAACCATTTTCTTCATTTATATTTTTCTCTACACGGTTGCTTTGGATGCTTTCTAGATATGAAATGCAGTTGCTGTGGCAGGTTATCTTAATGCCACACTTCTAATCCCTAATTTCCATTTTCATAGCATATGGCGAGATCCCAGGTTTGTTATCATTTATTTTCTGTTGGTATTTTGTTTTTGTACCATCAAGGAGAAATGATATCTTATTTTGCCAATCATTTTGTTATCACATCAACTGAATCCCATCTGTGGTTTTTTACTTTCCCAGCAAATTCAAAGACATCTATGATGAAGAGTATTTCATCAATACCTTGAAGAATGATGTATGAGTTGTTGATAAGATTCCTAACTACATAATGGAACGATTTGATCACAATTTGACCAACGTTTTCAACTTCAGAATTAAAGCATGGTCATCCATTCGGTATTATAAGGAAATTGTCCTACTAGCTGCTTGAAGAAAAGTGAGTTTAAGCATTGATTGTAGTTTATATTGGGATATGTTCTTCACTGCTATTCTCTTCTAGTTCTATTTATTTTTGGATAAATTACTCCATTTATTGTTGTCATAAATTAGGCTACTCGTTTTCTGATTGAACGATACAGGTTTATAAGAATTTCTCCTTTTGCAAACCGCTTATCATTTGATGCTCCTCCTGCTGTCCAAAGACTCGGATGCTTTGCAAATTATGAAGCATTTCGTTTTTCGAGTCCAATACTAAGCCTTGGAGAAACTTTGGTTGCAAGAATGAAAGAGTGCAGTGCAGACAGTGGTGGCAAATATCTTTCCGTTCATCTTCGGTTCAAGGAGGTTAGTATTTGTGTAGATTGATGGCATTTCTTAGCATAAAAAGTACTGTTATGACTTTTAGTATCAGAAACTGATCAACTCCATTTTTGTAACAAGTGTAGAATATCCTTTATTGTGCAGGATATGGTTGTTTGCTCTTGTTCTGTATTTGATGGTGGGGAGCTAGAAAAAGAAGACATGAAAAAAGCGAGGGAAAGAGGCTGGAAAGGAAAATTTACAAAACCTGGTCGAGTTATACGCCCTGGAGCAAACAGGATTAATGGGAAATGCCCCCTTACTCCTTTAGAGGTATTCTCAGTTTATTTTTGTTGTTCGATCGACACTAGTTTCGATGATAATTCTTTTAATATGTTGTTGCACCTATTAGGTTGGATTGATGCTTAGAGGATTGGGATTTGATAACAATACATATATCTTTTTGGCTTCTGGAAAGATATACAATTCTGAGAAAACAATGGCTCCATTATTGGAAATGTTCCCCAACTTGCAAACAAGGGAGATGCTGGCATCTGAGGAAGAACTTGCTCCATATAAGGTCTGGAAGAATACAGAGATTTCACTTCTTTCTTTAAGCCTTTCAATAATGCCTTTGAGATCGGACTTTCTGTCATCTCTTTGACTCGATTATTGCTTTCAGAAGTTTTCTTCCAGGATGGCTGCCATAGACTATACTGTTTGCCTTCATAGCGAGGTGTTTGTTACAACTCAAGCTGGAAATTTTCCTCACTTCCTGATGGGCCACCGGAGGTACTTGTACAGCGGACATTCCAAGACGATTCAACCAGACAAGCGAAGGTTCGCACTGCTATTTGATAACCCGAATATTGGGTATGTATTTAACTTTTCTACCTTCATTTAGCGGCCACAATAGGGTAGCAGAAGATCTTATTGACAGTTCCAAACATTAGCAGCTAGATAAACATGAAGCAATACATCTCGAAACAGTTATGTTGTACACTTTACTCTCGGAGTTTATATTAAGTAGTTTTCTTCTTTGCCAAGGTAACTTGCTTAGATGGTTTACATTGCATGTGTCGTATGTTCTATAATGGAAAATGTATCATCATGATTTCAGGTGGAGTAATTTCAAGCGACAAATGCTGAATATGCGTTCACATAGTGACACTAAGGGTGCGTTTGGATCACGGAATATAAAATTATCAGTGGGAATAAAAGATTACCTGAGAATGTTACATTATTGTGTTTGGTTGGTTTGGCATGAATGTAAGATTACATTATTTGGTTGAAGAAATAAAAGATTACTAGAATGTATATTTTACCAAATTGTCTTTGATCTATATTTTTTGACAAGTGAAATTTTAAATATTTAAATAAAAATTATTTATATAAAAATTATATATGTTGATAATATATTACTTGAGTATTTAAATATATCATGTATTATTTTAATTTTAATTAATATTAAATTTTATATAATTTATGTAAAAATATATTAAAATTTTATATCAACATTTTAACTAAATGTTTACATTGTGAAAACTAGCTTCGGTTTATACGTGACGCATTTACCGGGAGGTTTCTTGTATTTTTCAATAGACAAGGTTTACATTCTTCTATATATAATAATTTATTATAGATATTCATAATAATAAAAAGATGTAAATTATTTTTGTTATCTAAGATATAATATTTATTATATCTTCTATATACAATAATTTATTTATTTATCTTTTATATTTATACTTAATTCTGCATACTTTATCATTATTATTTATTTCATGAATTTATATTGCAAAAACATAATTCAAATAAGTAAGAAAATATAACACTAAAAATCATATTGTAGCTTTATCTTCTTTTCTTGTTTGTTCATTACCATGTTTTGCCATGTCGTGGTTACAATATGATTATTCTTTCGAGTGAATCCAAGACTTACCAGCATCAAAAAGTGATATAAATATCAGTTTTAGATTGTGGGTGTATTTTAAGATGTGAAGTATTTTGATAAGATGATGAAAATATCATTTCTCTTCCTTCTCTCTTTTGAAGGAATCGACATGTTGCTCAAAGAAGCAACATCAATTAACTGCTAATGGTAATAGAACTGCTGGAGGTTTTTTTTTATTACAGGGTTGAAAAGGTGAGGGTGGTTCATATATTAAAAGAGTTCACAGCTGTAGAATGTGAACATTAGTGAGAAAAAGAAATTTCTGAAATATATAGCTTTGGCAAGATGCCCATCACTTTCATACTGATTCCTTTGTAGGTGTGCTATGTGTCGTGATGGTCAGCCTGCTTCTCATTCACCTGATTTGCGATGTTCATCAAGGAGTTTCTCGAAACGTTCAAGACATTGAGAAGGTGTTCGGCCAACAATTGGGGCAATCGTCCTCCATTGCGTTGGCATGAGCTTAGCAAGATGAAGCAGCTTCTCATCCTCTTCTCTAGTCCACTCGGTCTACATACATCACAAAAACACAAATGATCACTTGAAACTTGATAATTTTTACTAGTTTTCTTCATCAAAATGAATCAAGTAGAAACAATTCAATTAAACTAAATAATTCAACATAAAAACAATAACATATTCTCAGCAAGAAAGCTACTTGCAGAGTTGCCGTTTGAGTAACAAAAGGCTGCAATTCCCTACAACTAGACCACCCTCAATTCTTACTTTCACCAACTCATTTTACGCTCTCAAAAGTAAAAAACTTATTTGAGACAAGCAAATGAACAATAAGAATTGAAATTTGTGAATTTATTTTTATATGATACAATTATAAACCAATGCACATTACTCCACGTTTGTAGTATTTTGTACTTTTAGTCAAACAAGTATTGGTTTATTTACCATTAACTTCTGTTTGCATAGCAGACATTCGAGCAAGCACAAAGCAAGAAACAAGAAGTAACAAGAACATTTCTTTCAACTAAGCTTAGCTACTCTGACCAAAGACATCAAATCAAAGAGCAATCTAAACTAAACTTTTCTAACTGAAGAAAAACCTAATAATAATAGTGTCTATGGAAAAATTCAACTCATAAATCGAAACACTGAAAAGCTTAAATACCCAAAATTGATTCGATCTTTAAGGGTAAAGCTCCAATTCGAAACAAATCCAGGTGAAGAAACATTAAAATTTTCCTTACAAGGAAAAGAAAAGATAAATTTACCTTCTTAATGGAGGGATCGAGCCACTCATACCAGCGAGCTTTACATTGCTTAGCAGATTTACGAACAAGCAAAGAAGAAATTCGAGCCCATTGTTTCTTCCCATATTTCATAACCGTTGCCTTCAATATCTCATCCTCCGTGTTCTTCCATACTCCTCCTTTTATCATAATCCTCATTTTGGCTCACGATTCTTTGTTACCTTGAAATAAGGAAAGGTAATACTTCCAAAACAAGCTTCTGAAATGAACAAACTAATGCAGATTGTAAACCACTTCAAATAGCAACTTAATAAGTTTTGAATTCATTCAAATCCCAAGCACAAATTACAACTAACAATTAAAAAGAAAATTAACAAAAACTCAAACATCCAACAAATTCATATAAGAGATGTCAAAAGTAAAAGCCAGAAAAACAGTTTATTTAGCTTAATTAACAACAAAATACAACTTTGGAACTAATTGCATGCTGGAATTAAACTAGCAGATAAGAAGTTTCAAACTTTATTGAAATTCAATATGAGAAAAAAAGACCCAAACCTTAAAAAATCACATCATTCCTCAGTTTTTCTGATAGAAAAGGAAAATCAAAGAAGAAGAATGCAACAATTCTCTCCGTAAAACTCCAAAGCAAGCTAACGGGGAGAAGCAAACGGGAAGAATGCAACAGCTCTCGCCAAATCGAAGAAGATGCAATGTTTTCCTTCGCATAAGCAAGCTAACGGGAGAAGGATATTTTAGCCAAGGGGGACGGGAATGTTGAAATACCTAAGAGAGATGGGAGACTAACATTCCCAGTAAAACAGGAAAAAAAAAACAACTGTTGGTATTCAATGTTTACCCTCTCTTGGGAATAATAACCATCCAAACGTGGGTAAGTTAAACGGGAAAAAAAGATTCCTCCCAGGAATGTTTTAATCCATGAACCAAACGGGACCTAAAGGAATTGAACTTAAAAGGCCAAACGATTTGATATATACCTTCCCATGCCCCGATTGCATGTGTCGTACAAACGGATCGGTGAAAGCAAGATCATCGTCTGCTACGTAATCTTCACGAAGGATTTCGATGGTGTGAATGTATCTTGTTCCTGTAAACATAGTTATAGAGGTCAAGTCGTATACGATGTTCAGATAACAAAAGCCGACGATTTTGCCATCAGAGGGATAACCCCGGCATTAACCGAATCGGAGATTGTTTTGTGATTTTGCTGTAGCGGAATCAAACAAACTGTTAACACCACATTGTATTCTTTTACACTCAATTGTAGTTTGATTTGGAAGAGATTTTGGTGTAGATTTTATGAGAAATCAGGGTATTATGATTGATTTTTCATATTCAGTTTTGTAAGAGGGTGTTCACCAATTGTCCCATTTTCAACAATTTTGTTTGTTGTTAATTCTTGCTGGATTCCTATTCTTCTCTCGTATCCATTCTTATAATGATAGATACACATAAATATTATTGTCAGAATTAATATAAAAACACATATAATAATTATAGTTTATTGATAAATTGATGGTGATTATGAGTCTCTATTGATATATAATTCGAGGGTGTAAAGTAAATCATCAGAATAATTAAATAAATATCATCCAATTTAGATAGATGACATCAAATTTAATCCTGAAAATAAAAAAATGTAATATTTTTTAATATCAAAATATAACATTTAATAAGTAGTTTAGATAAAAAAAATAAGAGAAATGTATACCATAAAAGTAAGTTACCCTCTCGTTATATATAAAATTTTAGTTTTTATAATTATTAGACTTCTTTTGTCTTAGGGCTCCCGACAAATGACACTTCGGATATTCCTTCATAGATGGGCAACTCTAATCCGTTCTTATCGAAATAAAATAAGAATATTTGATCCGCACTATAAGAATCAGTTTGCATTCATTCTCTGTCTGAACCAAAAGCAACCGCCATGGGAATCGTCGGAAATCTCGCTCCACAGCAGCGCCAATCTTTCGACTCTCAAGGTCTACGCCGCCGCCTCTTTGAACAAAATATTTTCTTTTCAAGATCCTTCTGCCACTGGGTTTTTCTTTAAGTGTGTGTTTTGCAGGTTTTATTGTGATCGAATCATTTGCGAGCACTCAAGAAATTGAAGCCATGAGGAAAAGAATGGACGAATTGCTTCAGGACTTTGACCCCACCACCACCGCTTCTATTTTCTCCACCAAAAATCAGGTCTTTTTTTTTTTCTTGTAGCAATTGTAATATTTTTGGAATTATAACTTTAAATTCTGATAGTTTCTCGATATGGGGTTTTTCTGTAGTTGAAGTTGACCAATGAATACTTCTATGAAAGTGCTGAAAAGATCTCCTTTTTCTTTGAAGGTGTGTTTTTTTCTATTGTTGCTTTCATTCTTTTCTGCACTCTTTTAGTTGTTTCTTTGATTTTAATTTTACTTTGAGAAAATCAAATTACTTTTGAGAACTAGACTTTTGGGATATATGAACTTGCTGTTGCCTGTCAGATTTAAAGTGAAAGGTATGGATGTTATGAATTGTTTGCAAAAGCTTTAAAGGGTAAAGCTTGATTCCTTATTGCTTTCACATGTAATCTATTGTATAAAGCACCTACACTTATGGTTATTAGTGAGTAGAGAGTTGTTTTTGGTTACTTTGATGACTTCTATTTTTTTTTCTTTCTTTTGTTGTTTTGGCAGAAAAAGCATTTGATGATAATGGAAATTTAAAGCAATCGAAGGAACTTTCTATTAATAAAGTTGGGCATGGTATATGATTTTGTAAACTTTGTGTTTTATTATGCTCTTATTTGGAAACACGTTCATGTAAATAGAGTATAGATATGTTTATTGTAGCTAATCCATGGTTTTATTCGTTTGTGCAGCGTTACATGAGATTGACCAGGTTTTCAAAGAATTCTCTTGCTCTGAGAAAGTTTCAAGTTTGCTCTTCTCTTTAGGATACAAGAGACCAGTGATCATGCAGTCAATGTATATTTTTAAGGTATTTAACTTGTTTCTTACTTGACCATGAAGTCAATGTTTACCCAGTGATAACACCCTTTGCTGGTGACCTTAGAATTTCAACCCCCAAGTCATTGAGAGGTTCTGATTTCAGTTGCTTGAACTTAATAGTTCAACTTTAGAGTCGAACAGTGTATTGGCTCATATAGGTTTATTCAAATATCCAGTCAATAAAACCTGTGTCCTGTCTGTGGATCCTAGGTGACCTTGCTGTTACTTTGTTAAATTTAGTGATATGAGTTTTTCTGTAAAATTTAGGAATTTCTATGACAGTGAGGTTCTGTTTGGTGGCTGTTTTGTTTTATTCTGGTGCTTTCTTCATTTGATGGGTGTGGTTAATCGAATAATTTTGTTATTCTTCATTTGAAAGAATACACACTACTAATCCTGCTAATGGATGAAGATTGGAATGCTGTATGGTTTGTAATGAAATTTGAATCTTGTATCCTGTCTGAATGGATTTTGTTGAATACTGAACTTTGAGTTGTTGTGCTTATATGTGACCCATTTTGACAGCAACCGGGTATAGGAGGTGAAGTAACTCCTCACCAGGACAACGCATTTCTTTATACTGAACCTAAAACTTGCACTGGTCTGTGGCTCGCTCTAGAGGATGCAACAGTTGTTAATGGCTGCCTTTGGGCCATTCCAGAATCTCAAAAAAGTATCCTTTTTTACTTTACCCTGTCTGTAACATTTTAAAGTATATAAATGATGCCTTATTTTGATCTGCTCTAATTTTTGTTTCTAGATGGTCTTGTAAGAAGGTTCATAAGGGGTGAAGATGGAGTTTTCTTCGATAGGCCCTCACAATCGTATGACCAGAAAGATTTTGTGCCTATTGAAGTGAAAGCTGGGTCTTTGGTCGTAATTCATGGTGATCTTATTCATCAAAGGTTAGTTCAAAGAATTATATCCAGAGCTCATCCAGCTTAATGGGCCTAATGGCTAACCGTTTGCGTCTTTTTTGTTTATGCTGGTACTATAGCTTTGAAAATCAATCTTCAAATTCGCGGCATGCGTACAGCTTGCATGTGATAGATACCGACGGCTGCAAGTGGGCAGAAGATAATTGGTAAGTAATTAGATCATTTATTTTTATCTTCACCAAATTTTGAGATGGTTCATTTTTTATGCCCCACAGATCCATTCATTCTTTATAGGACAAACATAGTATCTTTCTCAAGGTGCTGATAATAAACATTTTCTTTTATCTGACGAATCTTATTTATTTAGATGATGTAATCCATAGGTAATTCAACTGTCTCGGTGTTGCTTGAATGCTTATGCTATAGCACCGGCAACAATTTTCCTCATCGTATTGATATGCTAGGGCAATGTGTAAATACTTTTAACTTTATTTGTTTGAAGTGTACATCCTTGTATGGAAAACAATATTCCGATTCAAAATGGTAATTAATGTAGTCGCCTCCGTCACCATACATCATAGGTGAGATTGAGAGAAGATCTAATTCATCTGATATTCATTGGTATTGTGATATTCACTATAAATGTGATGTCATGGATGCAAAAAAAGGAGATGTTCTTTTATTACATCATAATGAAGAAAAGAACTAATTATTGTATTCTTTAGTTATCTAAAAGAGATATGGATGCGGTTTATGTGATGATCGACCATTTCTTCAACTTTATCTTTTCACCTTTTCAGGATTCGAAGAAAAGTTGAGCCAGAGCCCCTTTACACTTCTTGAGCAAACTCAGGAGTTTGTCCCCTGAAATTCGCTGTCAGCCTCAGCCTTGGCAGGGATGGGAATGAAGGTTAAGAAAACAGGGAAGTAAAGGCATGGAGATTTCATATGCGTATGAGAAAAATATTTATACTCTCGTTGCAGTATGTACATTATTGGATAATGTTTTATGTTATTTAGACATGAGTGTCAAATATAAGTTCGTGTCGAACATGACAATTCCAAGACCAATAAAAGTTGGCTCACCATATACTCTATACTGAATAACTCAAATTTCCATCATCTATATATAGTGATGTAAATGAATAAAGTGTTCGACGAATTGTTCATAAATTGTTCTTATAACGTTCGTTTATGTTTGTTTATTAAGTTAAATAAATAAGTATGGACAACATTTCTATGTTTATTTAATAAATGAACGAACATAAATATAGGTGTGTTCGGTTTGTTTATTTTTATTAATAAACTTGTTTATTGGTTCAATTATAAATTTATTTATTGTCTTGTTTATAAGTTGTCAACTCTTTTATAAATTTGTTTATTCAATTTTAATTTTTCTTCCTTTTATAATTTAAATATTGACTTGATTATAAATTTATTTACCGTCTCGTTTATAAGTTGTCAACTCGTTTATAAATTTGTTTATTCAATTTTAATTTTTCTACCGTCTATAATTTAAATATTGACGATGATAAAAACTAAAATAAACATAAGATGAACTTTGAATTCAAATTGTGAAGTTAAAGAACTTAGGGATTAATGGTGTAATTTCACCATTTTTGACTTGTAAATAAAAGGGTAAAAAGAGGATTTGTTGTTAATATTAAACAAACAACAACAACAACAAAACCCTATTCTCATATGTGATGGGGTAAGGGGGAGGTAGGGTAGTAGGTTGCCTCCATCGCCAGATTGAGAGCAGCTTCCGTGAAAGACTCCTGGCAGTAAGAAAAATTAAAAATAAAGATAAAATACAATGCATGTATAAATAAATAAATACATGGTTGAACAGTATTCTTATGCAATCTTCATATACGAGTCTGAAATGGAAAGTAATCCCTGCAAATAAATTCTTGCGAAAAAAATCTCTGCACATGGACAGAAACGTAAGACTTGGCTAAAATTAAACAGGGGAAACATGAACAGAAGGATACGCAGAAGGCAACGATAATAAGCTACGAGAAGGAATATTAAACGAACATGTACACAAATGTTAAATGAATATGTTCTCGAAGTTAAACGAATATTAACATATTTAAAAATAAATAAACAAATATAAACATGATACTGAAAATTTTAATGAATACAAATTGAACATAAATATTTTTAAAATTAAATAAACGAATATGAATATAACTTTATTCGTTCAAATTTGATTCATTTATATATTTCATTATTTATTGACCCTTCGAGAATATGGTGATTGCATGGAGTTTTTACGCTCAATCTAACGTGCAATAACTTGATTTCAGAGTTATTGAGATGAAAAGTAATTGAACGTGAAAGCAAGGCAATGCATGCATATTTCTTCAAATTCAAAGCTATACTAATAATTGTAAAGAGGGTATGGACTTGAAAGAAAAACGTAAAAAGGCTATGGATTCTGATCTGAATTATGAGACATGAGAGTTAAAAGGGATATATAACTTTCCCAAAAAAGATTGGAGCTTTCTTCTTTATTGAAGGATGGGTCTACTACCACTACTACTCTATCTATGCAAACTGATTTTGAAGGAATCCCACAACCATCACCCCCCCCCCAACTGTTCCACTCAGCTAAACTTTCCCAACTTTTTTTCTGAAGTTCATGGCGTGAGAGATTGCGTTCGTCCTCCTTGACTGCAAAATAAATAAAATCAGAGTAAAAAGAAACACAAGGACAATCCCCCTAGCTTCCCCATTTTTGGCCATTTCCAATTAATGCTGGCCGCTCCCAGACCTCATTGGATTTTCTCGGCAATACGCGCTTTCTTCCTCAGTTTCTTGCATTTTTTTGGGGGTACATTTTCTCTGCTTGTTTCTGCCCTGCATGCAGATATTCAGCTGCAGAAGTTTCAGTGACAAAGTTTCAATTGGCATCTTTTATCGTATGCAAAGACCAAGAGATTTTTTTGTGTGACATTTTTATGTTCTATTTTTAAAGTTTATTTTGTTGGCGATTGAATGAATATGTCTGGGTATTTCAAGAGGTAAAAGGACACAAAATCGAACAGGTGTATCATCAAGTTCCAACTCTTCGCTTCTGTTTTTCACCTTTTGCTGGTAAAAAGAACAGTAATCACCAAATCTTACAGGTCAGATAGATACATAATGCAAGAAAGATACCAAATATATATGGCTAACTGAGCCTACATACAATGATTCTACCTTGCAATCTCAAAAACTAAACTAGAGTTGAGTCGAACTTTATTTAATTATCCAAGAATATATGGGAATTGAACATACATGAGAAAAACAAAAACTATTACTGACATATACCTGAAAACCCCCTCCAGATATATGCAGTTCAAGTTAATGTCACTTTTACATCAAAACTCTCTTCACATCTTTATCCTGTTCCTATGTCCCCCATCGCCCTTATCATCTATCTTTCATTTTTGTAATTGTTCTTGTTCATATAGAATGGACAACACTGTCAACAAAGAAATTAAAACCCTGCAATTTGCATTGTTTAAAGGGTAAAAAAATATGAAAGGAGGCTCTTTCCTTGGGTTTAGCCAGCATGGTCCAATATGTGTTTTAAGGAAACCCCCCCCCCCCCCAAGATTAACTACATGTCCTTGTCTTCACAGTTGCACCATGCGTGACAGACACAGCATGAAACAGTCCCTAGTTTGTCACAAAAAAACAAAACTAACGACAGGCTTAAATGTTAACCTTCTTTTTTAACTCAAATGGAAAAACTAGTATTTAATTTCTGCGTATCTGTTGCCCACATGCTAAGCTTTAGCTAATAGCTACCCACCGGCCACCTTCCCGTGTTGTTGTTCAGTTCTTCAGAGGAAGAAACTCGAAATATCGGGTTGTCGTTGTTGTAGTTATGGCTGTGATGGGCACTTGTTGGTGGGTGTCTTTGTTGCTGATATTAATGCCGGTTCCAAGGGGAAACAGCTCGAGGGTCTGGTCTTGTCTGTTGTCTTCTTCGTGAGTGATATTGTTTTCTTGGTGTGGTTTCAATGGACATAAATTTCCAGTGTCTGATGAAGTTGTTCCCGAACAAGACAGCTCCAAGCATAGTTCCTTGTCGTGAATTTGCATCCACTTGTTTCTTCCACTTTTTGCAGTTCCATGCGTTGATATGAAACCCTAAAAAGACAGAGAACATCGAATTAAAGTGGAATTACGAAAAGTGGTGGATTGAGTGAATGCAAATTCATAAAACAACAGAAAAGTAAAAGATTGCAGCTTTTAGACAAAAAAGGGATAGATAGACACGAACCTCGGAGAGTTTACATACGTTTGAAGGAGAAGCCTGGTTGTTTGTCGGTTCAATTTCGCAGCGACCCAACGAAGATGCTAGTAAAAACAAAACAAAGCAATGAAAACATATACATGTTTCAATTCTACGTGTTTCTATAGGTTTACCTGCTGATTCCTTCTTTTCCAAGCCATCGGCATCGCAATGTTGTTGTTCGTCAGGAGTTTTGTTAAGCTGACGGCGGCGTTTTTGACGTTCTCTTGCTTTATGGTTCTGGAACCAGTAGAAAACGTTCTTCCCTTCGATCTTCCCGAACCGCTGAAGCAGCGCCGCAATTTGTTGGATTTGAGCCGTGGACGGCGTCCGTGTGCCGCGTCGATAGAGCTCCTCGAGTGTCATTAACTGCTCCGGCGTTGGGTTCCAACGTGAACTCCCTGATGACTGTTGACTTCTCTCGTTTGCATTATTCACTGTACCACCAACAAGAAATTATATCATTGCTAACAAGAAGAAAAAATGAATGAAATGTTACAAGAAAAAGGGTGGGGTTTACCGAAATCTCCATGATTGAAGAAAGGTAAAAGGTTTGGAATCAAAGGTGAAGGCTTTGCGTTGTTGAATGAAAGAGATAAGCTGAGGTCAGTAATATGGGGGTATCCCATTTTTTTGAAGGAGCAACAAAGCACAGATTACTGGGTTTTGTTGTTGTTGTGAAGTTTATATAACTTCGAGAAAATAACCTCAGTGATCAAAAATATCTTATAATATACGATTTTAACGTTGCGATTTAGTTGGTTATTTTGACAAATCCAAAAAAATTGGTTAAAATCGTATATTATAAGGTATTTTTGGTCACTGAAGTTATTATATATATATATCAAATTAAGGGGGTGAATTCACGAGATAATGTTCTCGAACTTTTTTATTCACGATATAATGCACATTTCAGATTAATTGCTGGGATGGGGTGAATTCTACAGTGATCTCGTAGGACGCCATGCAATCCAGGCGATCTTGTAGGACGCCATGCAATCCAGGCGACATACGGAGACATACGAGTGACATACGAGCCATACAAGCCATATACGAGCCACGAGCCAATGGAGAGGTCGCCATGCAGTATTATACGAGGTGAGGTCGCCATGCAGACGAGCCAGCCAATGGAGAGGTCGCCATGCAAACGAGCCAGCCAATGGAGAGGTCGCCATGCAGTCTGGGCGACCTTGTAGGTCGCCATGTAGTCCCGGCGACCTTGTAGGTCGCCATGTAGTCCCGGCGACCTTGTAGGTCGCCCCGGCGTCACCTAGCTCCCGAGACCATGCATGCACATGCAGCCAAGATAACTTCACGTGCTCCTGCTCCCCGCTGCATGCCTGCATGCATGCCAAGATAACTTCACGTGCTCCTGCTCCCCGCTGCATGCCTACAGCTATTGATGCCATGTGATCCTAGCTCACGAGACCATGCATGCACAATAATTGAACCATTGTTGGTGAAATAATTGAGGCAGCCGGTTATATATGGGGGTGTGCAAATCGCAAGAACATAAAAGAAAGATCACACATAATAGAAAGAAAGAAAGGGAGAAGAGATTGCTCACGAGAAAGAAAGAAAGGGAGAAAGAAAGGAAAGTAAGAAGAAGAAAGGGAGATAAGGTAAATTTGTTTATATTTAAATTAGTTTATTATTATAAATGTTAATTAGTTTATTAGTTTAGGGTTATATGATTGTTAGTTTAAGTTATAGTATACATAAATTAAAAATTATTTAATTAGTATATGTTTGATAGTTATATAGTTAAAAAATAATTAATTAGTTTGTTTTGTTAATAGTTAGTTATATAAAAAAATTATTTAATTAGTTTTTGTTAGTTAAATAGTTAAGTTATATTTGTTTGTTGAATATATATTATATAAAAAATTAGTTAGTAAGTTTATTAGTAGTATATTATAATGAAAAAATAGTTTATTAGTTAGTTTTAGTTATATAAAAAAATATTTTATTAGTTGTTTAAGGGTTTGGTGTTTACGTTTAACTTATATTTTAAAAAGTTTAGTTTGTTAGTTTATTAGTTTATTATATTATAAGTTATTATATTAAAGTTTAGTGTTGTAAATTAGTTAGTTAGTTTATATTAGATTATATTAAATGATTTTTTAAATATTGTTGTTTAATTTTTTTTACAGATTCATTCCAATGGCTGACCAAATTCCACTGTTGAGGCTTGACAATGAACATATTTCAAGTCATTTGGGAATAATGGTGAATAAAATATTTGTTTAATGAATTATAATTAATAAATATTTGAATATTATTTTATGATTGTGATAATTTTTTTGAAATATTTAATTGTAGGAGGACGAGCAGCGAGTCCTTCGTCTTCGACTACATAAAGTGCCCAAGCCACACCCACTAATAGAAGAAAATTTGCAAGAGGCTGGATTTTGGTATATCACATTTGTGCGAGATTACAAGTTGGTCCCAGGTTTGATCAGTGCGTTGATTGAACGCTGGAGACCAGAAACGCACACGTTTCATTTGCCGTGTGGCGAATGCACGATAACTTTGGAGGATGTGGCAATGCAACTCGGGGTCCAAACTAATGGGATGCCGGTGGTAATGTCACATGAGTTTAATAAGGTGGAACAACTTTGCAACTTGTTTCTTGGGAAAGCGCCCGTACCACCAGAGTGTAAAGGGTGGCGGGTGAGGTTGTCATGGTTGAAGAATGAATTTCAACTTCAATCAAATAGTACGGAGCACGAAATTATATATGCAACACGAGCATATATTACAATTGATTGGGGGAATTTTGATGCCTGATAAATCCGGTAGTTATGTTCACACTCAGTATCTTCTTTTTTTAACAAATTTTGAGAATTGTAGGCAATATAGCTGGGGTTCGGCGATATTGGCGTTCTTGTATCGTGAGATGTGCAAGGCGTCATTAGTCGTGAATGATAATAATACAGTAGAAATCAGTGGATGTCTGTTGCTGCTACAATCATGGGCTTGGCATAGACTTCCGTTTTTGACACCGATTAGTCGGACTGCAGTTGACTTTCCACTTGCCGGAAGGTAATATGAATCCTCTATTTTAATATAAAATATTAATTAAAAAATATTTATTTTGATTAGAATTATTGAACAAAATGTCTCTATTTTTGTTTTGATTGATATACAGATGGAGGCATAAAATTGAAGGCACAGGGTTGGTGCACAACAACATTAAAGAGTTCAGGTTAAAGATCGACATTAAGGCCAAAAAGGAGGTATGCATAATTTGTATTTTTTAATTATTATTTAAATTAACTATATTATCTGATTTAAATAAATTTTATTGTTTTTGTAATTTTACAGTTTAATTGGAGACCATACATGAATGAAGAATTATTTGCGTTGATACCGCACGATATTTTAGATGGGTTTCAATATTGGTGTGCTGTTACACCATTGATCAATTTTGCTTTTGTTGAGATCCAATTTGGGGATAGAGTGCTGAGGCAATTCCACTTCCACCAACCTATTCCGCGGAGTCCATGGGATCATGACCTCCTCCAAAACTTAGATGGTCGTCGTCCAGTGAATTGGGTTGAGACGCATGACGACCTGCACAGATTTGATGGTCGTCGTAAAGAAAGTGTTAATTGGGTTGAGAAGCATGCAACCTACATTAATGCTTGGAACAATAGGGCTTCATTCATGCCAACTCTTGACGCCATTCAAGACGACGACTTTAATTTTGAGACTTCGGCTTACCTTGCTTATTTTTTGGATAATGGAAAGCCGTTCCTCACAACAATAGTAGAGAGGCGACAATTTTTGAGGTTTAAGAAAAGATTTGGTAAAGCTGAATACTCTCTACCGAGTGGGAGTGGGAGTTCATCTCTACAAACTGAAGCGGAAATGACCGATGTGGATAATAGCGCACCACAATCGTTGCATCACGCAGTTGATGATTCTACTGGCCCGGCATACATACCAGAGTTTGTGCAGCCTGAGGCACCCATCTATTCTCCTACGTTTTCGTCGACGTATGACTTTGAACACATGACAGTTCAAATACCCCCAATGAATGAGGGGGGTGGGTACAATACTCCTGAGCCACAACGGCCACAACGTATCAGACGTCCGCCCCGACATTATCATTCAACAACACCCCGACATCGACAACAATTGTAAACTCGTTTGCTATTTATTACAAATTATTTATTGAAATTAGACTACTTTTTTTAACCTTAACAATGATGTTTAGTATCAAATCATTACTAGTATCAAATAATTAAATATTTAGTAAATCAACTGTTTTAAATCATTAGTATCAAATAATTAAATATTAACAATAAATCCTCATTAATAATAATTAGTAAATCATTAGTATCAAATCATTAAATATTTAAAAATCATTAATAAATTCGACTATGTATAAATTTAAACTCAGTAATCCACACTTGTACCCTCATTTGTTAGTATTCTATAATTATTAGTAATAATTATTAAATCATTAGTATTAAATCATTATTATAAATAATTACTAAATAATAACATAATAATTATTATAAAATCATTATTATAATGATTATTATCAAATCATTACTAAATCATCAAATCATTAAATATTTAAATCATTATTAAATCATTTTTATAATGATTATGACTAAATCATTATTATAATGATTATTATCAAATCATTACTATAATGATTATTATCAAATCATTACTAAATCATCAAATCATTAAATATTTAAATCATTATTAAATCATTTTTATAATGATTAATAAATACATAGAAATACATATATGATTACTAATGATGAGGCCTATATCTTGGTAAATTAGGACAATTGTTTTTTGAATGGCCTTCACCCCTACATAATCCGCATCTCTTTGCTTGACCTCTCTCTTTAGCATGAAAATCCATACTGGTATGAATTCGAGTGGACTCAGGTCGACCCTCTGGACTTCTGCGAAGCATTGGATTTGGTAGCCATTAATCATGATCCTTTTTGGGCCAATATGATTCATTCGGGATCTGTCTGAACACATAGCTGTAGACATTTAATATCCTACGTAGGTGGAAGCATTCATCAACATAAGTGTATGCGCTTACACCAGCATACATACATGCAGCGACTGCATGAGCACATGGATATTTCCATGCCTGAAAACGACCACAATCACACCATTTGTGTCGTAAATCAACTCTAAATGTTTGGTCTTCTCCTCCGACGTTACGACGTATGCACGACACGACAAAAGTATGACCAACTCGGTTGAAATTATGAACAACCATTGATGTTGCCAATCGCTCATTTGCTTCCATTGATTCCACCACTGTAGGAGCCCAAGTTTTACCTCTATTTATGAGACTCTCAATTTCCTTGCCTTTGTCCGACCAAACTTTACCCAGTCTAAAGTACGTCTCTTTCACCACGCTCGCTATTGGGAGATGGCGTGTACCTTTTAGTATCGAATTAATGGCCTCAACAAGGTTTGTGGTCATATGTCCGTATCTCCGACCTTCATCGTATGCTTGCGAACATTTTTCCCGCGGTATTTTTGAAGCCCACTTCCAAACACGCTGATCATCGTAAAATACCTTCAAATTCTCCAATCTCTTGTCAAAATTTGGTCGACGTAGTTCGTATCCTGTTCCATAATA